GCAGATGTATCTAAATCATATTATCTTACTTGTGATTCAAATATTTTGACTTGTAACTGATTTTATGAGAAAAGGTTTTTCAGAGTTCGACCGGAAAATCATTTTGTTATTATTTCTTTGTAGGTAAACCTAAACAATTTGAAAAATCTAGAATAATGTATTGGTTGTGCATGCCATTACCTCTCAACACGTCGTTGCATGTGTTAACACTAATAAATAGATCAACCAAGTTAGAATTATAATACGAAAACATTCTTAATTCACTAGTTATTGACCTAGTTTCAGGACAGCTTTTAGGATTTTGTTTAGATGACGTAACCGTTGGGACTAAATCATAAGAATATTGCGATATAATTTACTAATAGTAAAGAGTAGTGATCTCTTAATATTTATTATCAATTGCCTGAATCCGGAAGTGCAGACTGTCGGGAACATATAGTTATTGAACTTGCTGCTATATTAAAAAGTTTACATTTGATTCTTTGCATGGTCTTGAGTGTATATACAATCATAATCATACTATTTTCGTACTTCTTCCAAGTAAAATACAAAAAATGGAAGTTCTGTTTTAATTGAGACCATGAATTGACTAATGTTAAACCACAAATGAAGACCTGGAGATCCGTTTTGTCCTGATCTGGGACTCTTCAGCAGTTTGCATGCCCGATCCCTTACGCGTGATCTGCAGTATTGCGTGCAAACACTTAACCTCTAGATCACTGAGCTGGTATCCAACGGTGTTAATGTCTATTGTTTCCAGTGAGTAACTGCTTCACACCAGACACGTTGAATTGCACTGGTCACGGCTCATCACTAGAACTCCAGGAAATCCATCTTTAACCTAGACACTAGTGAGCACACGATAATTATCAGTATAGGACTGTAGAGATTGTTGAGTTTTGGTTGAGCTCATGAGTGGTCGCGCAATATCGTGGATTGGTAAGATTAATTTCTTATGTAAATGGGATAGTTAAAATAACGCAGTGTCACTGGGTAAAAAAAGAGAATTCCCAAAAGAAACTTCCTTTATCGACGAAATCATTTACTTAAACTGATTCAAGACTTATTATTAAATGAGGTTACGCAATCATCAACGGGTAAAAGAATATAAGGATGGAAATTATTTTACTGTTCGAAATTATGAAAAATGATTGTCCACTTGACAGTTAAGAAGAAAATCGACAAACATAATTATCATAATAATAAAAGCTGAATAATAATCATGAAAAACTGTTTAAAAGTAATAATAACTGATTACGGTTTAAAATTACGAAACATTTATTTAAAAAAACCAAAATATACTACTGAAGGAAATTAGGGCCAAGAAATGATGAGAGATTAGACGTATGAAGTTTGCACGCAGAGTTCAGACTTGAATTGGTGGATTGTCAATGCCTCACTAGTACATAAGTTTTTCGACCTTTATTCTGTCTAACTCCTTTGCTTGTGTAGATCAGGTTGAAGGAACACTATTAAAATGTACATATATACATAGAGAAATGAATGTATCGTCATATCAATTGAACGACTAACATTAAAGCTAGCAGGATGAATATGTGCGTAAGCGGTAAGCAATACTCAAGCATGCATGTTCATACAAGCGAAACAATAATAAAAGTACAGTGGTATAGATTATTGTGACATGTATATTCAGTGATTTTTGTAACGACAAAATAAAAACCGTTTTTTTCTTGTTTGTCACACTTCATATATAACCACATTTATATTCAATATCTATCGTTTCTTTGTATCAATGGTAAAGCAACAGATAAAATTGTTTAATTATTTACATATGTATATATGCTACCGCAGTTATTGAAAATATAAAACGCTATCTCCGCCGTCTGTTCTTCTGCTTTATTGGCCACAGCTTTTGATTGAAGATTATCATAGTCTTATAACATCCTTTTAGGCCTTCCCATACTACGTTGGACTCCAGTTATCAAATGATAGTTGATATAACTAATTATTTCAAAGAAAAACCATTATTTTAAACTTGATACTAACAGATTAGATCCTCTAGCATTATTTTCCACGGATGTCATTACTAACTACATGCCTAACCCTCTTTTATCCGGGTTTGGGACAGGTAGTAACCTTAGGAGGACTACGAGTAGAACCCTGCTCTGGGGACGAACCAATCAAATCCCGGTTGATAAGGAAATTTGGAAAAGACACGAGGTGGATAGCTCAAGTATTACGGAAATCATTGGTCTGCGTTACAAAGCAAGCGTTAACTCGGGATCCTTAAGGCAAAAGAAAAAGCATCTCAAAGAACATACTGCATTGGGAATCGGAAGCAGACATCAGGATAATAAATAGCACTTATTAAAGACTGGGAGGTCCCTATGGCTCACGAGGGGAAACAGTGTAGGTGAGTAACGCTTATGTCCTTTATCAATAAACTTCATTAGTATACATTGCATAATTAAAAAAGTAAACTAAACACGAAAAGTATAATCAGGCTGAGTAATTTTACTTACACCAATGTAGTTTAGTATTCTTGAGATAACAAACTAACCGCAAGAATAAAGATGAACAGGCGTTATATCATTGAGGATAGTTAAGTACCACTACCCTAAAACAACATTAAATATGCAAAACCTGATAGTTGTAAAATGTTAAAATTCGATAATGGTGTCACAAGAAAATATATTAGCATCCTAGCCGTAAGATATGAACATAAATGTTACTCTGAAATTAGCTAACAAGATGAAATGACAATAAATGCCGCTAGACCGGACTTCTCTAGATAGATCTATTGGTTGAGAACGATAATGGATCTAAGTACAAATAGTGAGACTAACTACGATCCAAGAAATCAATGTGGGAACAATCAACATCGCGAAGTCTTAGGATCAGATTATATAATCCAAAGCCTTAAGTACTGAGCAACCGCTCCAAATTATTTTCAAAAACCACAACATTTAGGCATAATGTTTGTTTAGGAAGGTATATAACAGTCGTACGAAAAAATGATATTACCAAACTACAACTGATATTGATTGGCAAGTCCTACTAAAAAGTTCAACAGAGTGGAATAAAATTCACCAATATTTTATTCTTTGGGTGTTAAGTATTGGACGTAATAGTTAACACGCACTCAGGATAAAATATGATACTGACATACAGTAGGAAAGTATGGCAAGCCTGCTGTTATGATCTCTTATTACGACTCAGTTACTCTTATTGTTTAGTATTCTTTGGACAGTTTACTTCACTCGACAAGTCCCCAAATCAGAACACAGTTGAACAAGAACGTAATTATACTCCAAATAAAGAAGGTTGAATAGAAGTACAAATTACAATAAAAACGCTAGTATATTTATAATTTTTACACAAGATTTTAGTCTTCTCCAAGTATCCGTTACCGCTGATTGGCTAAGAGATGATCAGCCGGGAAGTATTCTGTGCCGGATCCCGTTACTTTTAGTTGGTCAGTATGACGAACTCAAACTTCTGAGTCAACTGAGACTTCGTAAACAACATTACATTTCTTTTGCAGGATTCGACCAGCTGTCCATGTGGGATGTGGGCAGCGATAATCCATAGCAAGTACTTTTTGACCGACAGCGAATAATCGTCTTTGTACCTCATGATGTCGATGGACTCGGATCCCCATCGATCCGTTCCGTTGAGGCTCAAGAGCTGGTATCGGACGAACGTGTTCTTCTCCTGAGTAAAGCTTCTATTAGAGAGACCCCGTTGATCGTTTGAGGATTTGGTGCAGAACGAAAGATAAGCAAGAACCTCTCTAAAATCTCTTTATCCGGAGCATCTTTAGATCAACTAACAAAGCACTCAACTTGGCCATTGGATTGGGGATGGGAACTATTAGAGATGAATGATTCCATCCATCCGACAAAATTCTGAAGTAGTAGGCGTAAACTGTGTTCCATTGTCGCTAGCTATTAATTCTGGAACCACGAAACGACTGAACAGTTGACGTAGCCTTTTGACTGCGAAGCTTACAGGCCGTTCCATGAGAAAAATTTATGGCCACTTGCTGTATGCATCAGCTACAAAAAGGTAACTCAACTGAGGGACGATTCGGTATAACTGGATGCGGAGACTTCACGTACTTGTTTTTTTCGGGAGATCTCCAGAAGCTGAGTAATACTGAATTGTGACCAATCATTATCATGGTATAATGATATGTGACTGAGTGAAATTCAACTCGAGACACGATTTCAGGACCATGTCAATAACGTGATTTCATTAAGCCAGCTAGCAGCTTAGTTTCGAGGCTAACTACGAGTTATATAATCAAAGCATAGATACAGAAAGACGTTGATACTCAATAACAAAATGACTGTCACATTACAAGAAAATGGTGTAACCAATGTACAGTAATGTATGAACTTAAACGGTAACAATCACGAATTAATACTATCTCTGCACAATTAGCTTATCAGTAGTGAAATGAATCTTAATTAATCTGAACTGGTTAAACTGATGAGACGTATAGTCTATTCAGTGAATATATGAATCAAGTTACTAAGATTGTTATTTATGGACATAACTAATAACGATCCTCGAAATACGGAATCAAACTGAAGTCACAAGACAAGGAACGGAAAGCAGGAAATGAAATGCTAAGAAAAATATTCGTGATTTATCTGATCCTGATGGACATCAGTAATACGACCATTTGTCGGGACAATCAGCAGTGACTGACCGTAAGTTTCCATCACATATTTCGATCACTCTATTCACTAGACTTAGGGCTTTTATTCCTGAAATCCAAGACGACTGTGAAAATGGGGGAATGAAAACGATGTAAAGAAAATAAAACAGAAAAGGAGATAGCTGGAAGGGTTTGACTTTTGAGGATCGCAAAAGATGCTTAGAACAATGGAAGAAGAGATGGAACAAGTATATTGCCATAAATAGAGGGTATTTAAAAGAAAGAAGTATCTTGAAATATGTAAAACAAAGGTATCACAACTTTAGTACCGGAAGTTACCGTACATACCTATGTAAAATGAAAATATCTGGATTTGTGCTTTAAAATTTATTCAAGAAAAGAACAAGATATTTTTCAACGACAAAAAGAAATATACAAACTACGTGATTTAGAACAAAGACAATTTAATTTTCAGTAATCAACATCCTCTTTTAAAACATAAAAATACAATCAAAACTCCATATACAGGCAAGGATAAGATCAAAACAACTATGTACAAATACCGAAAATGAGCAAAAGATGAAGAAACACAGCGATTTATAGAGATAAGAAGACAACTTATTTATAATTATATGTCATGAGTTAATCACAGGAGATGCTTGTTCCTTATTGTTTGATCCGACAGGTCTCGGTTTCCCATAAGTAAATGGAACGTAGCGATATTTGATCATATGCTGTATCGTACAAAAAAAAGTCAAACAAGCAACAGAAATGATTAAATGTTACATATTTATGAAGCAATGGGATAAATAATGACGGACTGAATGGTGTATTTGACAGAGAAGAACAAGAGCAAGTTGTCAGTACCTTTTAAATGTTACAATTAACGTAGCCATCCGTAGTTGAATTTGACTGTCGTTAAATGCAAACAGTCACACAATAATTCGATATCTCATTTTGTGAACCAATCGTTCGAATGAATTAACTGAAGCATACAACAGTTACTAACTGACAATAGAGTTTTTTTATTTATATATTGGATACTGGTGTACTGATTCAGTTTTAATCCTGAGTGATTTGATTGTATCATAGTATATAGAGGATAAAGGTCTATTCATTGATTTCGTTTGAATATTCTCAATATCAGTGAATACTTTTAATTTTCTCATTTTGTTTCTTTTCTTAGAACTATATTTAATTATTTTATCATTAATACTAACACTACCCATTCGCCAATTATTAATTTTATTTTGCTATATTGAAGTAGTGTAGGAGCTTAGGGAAATGTACATTTATGCCAGGTTCTATGATGGCTAGAACTGAGTGGCTGAAATGAAATAGCAAACAGATTATTGAAATGGTGGCTCTATAATCACAGTAACCAAATTCTAACCATTAGGTCGCAGGATTAAACTTCAATCTATCTACTTCAATTTCGAAGATCGGGTAGCATTACTAACCATCACACGAAGTGAAGCTCTAATCAAGCTACTCGAACTTTTAACTCGTTAAGTTATCAGGAAATGGGGGGTAAATGGTCTTTCTTAAATAATTAGGGTTTGAAAAGCTTTTCAATATGTGAATAAAACAATACTATGGAACATTATCAACAAACACATATGTATATATTCTTCTGTGAAACCTGAGGTTAAAATATTCATTGCTACAGTACGTGAACTGATCTACGAAACCTAAATATCGCAGCTAACAATATAATAAAAGGTAACGAAAAGTTAGCATTTGATATCTGAAGTTTTCCACGTGAAACTCTCAGTGAAGTTATAAAACTTAAAACAAACTGATAGGACGAATAGTGGATTAAACAAATAGGCAATATTAACTGCACATAGGTAAATATTATAAAAAGTGATAAAACAAACCTTAATTTGCTTCTTCATCATAATAGCAAACAACATTATAAAATACATTACTAGTATCGGCCAAAATACTGGGATATCCAAGAATGGAAGATATGTGCAAAATATACTGATTGCAACGGCACGGACGGTGGAGAGCCTGTAATGTATTACGAAATGCAGTCGTTTACTAACACGAATGAGAATGATGAGTTTAGATGTTGGGTATCTTTAAAGTGATTTTTAACACACTCTCCAAATAGAGCTAGTTTCAAATGAAGGCAATCAACTTACATGGAAGCAATGTAGGAATTGTTGTGACTACATACTCGGCTAATACAATTATCATTAGCATAATAGAAGAGAAACCTAGTGTGTTAATGACAAAACCAAGTAACTTAAAACGAACAATCGAAAACAATAAACAAGATCTTCAGATAATAAAGAAAGGAAATGTATGGTTGGATTACAACTACAGACTTTACCAGTCAAAACCAAGACATAAATAAAAATGGATGTCAGTGAGTTTATGACTTGATAGGGTTTCACTTTGGTTAATCAAAGTAATCTCCCAACCTCATGAAGTCAGCGCAGTGATATAAGTAGGAAAAATAGTAACTAGATAAGAGACACTTTAACCAGACTTAATCTAACACAAAGAATCGAAATAACCAGTTTACTAATTAGTTTTCAAAACCAAATAAATGTTTATTTCTAATGATTCGATTCGTTATAACTAGTGGTTGATGGCACAATGCCTGTGGCAAAACCTTAGGAATGACCAACCATTTCTTGATTCATATGCTTAAGCATAAAAGTAGTCAGTATGTTTGGGTTAATAAGTACTAAGCTTTCGTAAGTTTCATAGATCTGTCAGTGATTCATCTATCTGAAATGAAGCAATTACTGTATGCAAATATAATAAGGCTTACGTACCTAACATGCCCCCAAATACCCAAGTTCGATCGCGTGGGGAGTCAGCTCTCCCCCTTTCGAATAAAATAAAAATGACGATATTTATTGGAAATTATATTCTCGCTTCGATTTACAGTCAAACGATTCACATTATTATTATTATTATTATTTACTACGTCATTTACTCACTCTTTTATTCCCACTTTATGTATCCCTATTTTTCGACTTATACAGCAGCTCGCCTATGGTGGGAACTCAGTTCTATCTGAACGTTCTGGATTCACTGCCTGGTTGGAAATTGTATGCTACCATCAAATACGAATACTGATGCAGTTTTTCTGAAACCACATCCACCATTCAAACTGGCTACCTTCAACGTTCGCACATTTATGCAGGTCGGACAACAGAAGGGGCTGGCTATGTCTTTGGAAAGTCTTAATATTGACGTTTGTTGTCTATTCGAGACCCGTTTTCAAAACTTTGATGAAGTACTACAAGTTCGCTCTCCATCTGTCGCTTCAAAAAGCTTGTTTTATGTGCGTTTATCCGGGGACCCTGTGACATCCTCGTCTGGTCTTGCTGGCGTTGGTGTCGCACTAAGCGCTAAAGCTGAGGCAGGATTAATCGATTAGATCCCCATCAACAGTCGGCTATGTGCTGTTAGATTAGAAAGTTCCACTAAAGTGAGAAGAAATCGGCGTAAGAAACGATGTCTTTTCGTCATCTCCGCCTATGCCCCGACAGATTGCAGGCCGGATGTAATCAAGCATGGATTATACCACCAGTTAACTGTTCTTCTCCAGAAAGTGCGTTCGACAGATATTGTAGTACTAGCCGGAGACTTGAATGCTCAAGTCGGGCGTCTGTTGCAACAGAAGTTGCATCCAGCTTGCTAACATCAATCCGTCGGTGGAGGTCACTTCGTTGTGCACTGAAAAGTAAGGTCAGATTTGCGCAGACCAGGGTACGATCAGAGTCCAGATAGGTACTTCAAAACGAGCGGCGGAGATGACGAAAAGACATCGTTTCTTACGCCGATTTCTTCTCACTTTAGTGGAACTTTCTAATCTAACAGCACATAGCCGACTGTTGATGGGGATCTAATCGATTAATCCTGCCTCAGCTTTAGCGCTTAGTGCGACACCAACGCCAGCAAGACCAGACGAGGATGTCACAGGGTCCCCGGATAAACGCACATAAAACAAGCTTTTTGAAGCGACAGATGGAGAGCGAACTTGTAGTACCTCATCAAAGTTTTGAAAACGGGTCTCGAATAGACAACAAACGTCAATATTAAGACTTTCCAAAGACATAGCCAGCCCCTTCTGTTGTCCGACCTGCATAAATGTGCGAACGTTGAAGGTAGCCAGTTTGAATGGTGCATGTGGTTTCAGAAAAACTGCATCAGTATTCGTATTTGATGGTAGCATACAATTTCCAACCAGGCAGTGAATCCAGAACGTTCAGATAGAACTGAGTTCCCACCATAGGCGAGCTGCTGTATAAGTCGAAAAATAGGGATACATAAAGTGGGAATAAAAGAGTGAGTAAATGACGTAGTAAATAATAATAATAATAATAATGTGAATCGTTTGACTGTAAATCGAAGCGAGAATATAATTTCCAATAAATATCATCATTTCATTTGTGTTGGCTGTGATACTGTCCGGGTGCCCAAACCAAAGTAGGTGGTTTTCTTATTTTATTTATTTATTTCAACACATAGATAATGGTACAAAGAGGCACCAAATACATATGCGCCACACAAATCTCATCCGATATGTGTGAGGGCTGTGATACTGCCCGGGTGCCCAAACCGAAGCAGGTGGTTTTCTTAGGGGGCCACACCCCGAGCCTTCGACCCAAAGGTCTGATCCACAAGGCAGTGGAGCATCGTAAGGAGATGCAGTCCCATGGAAGCCGGTGACCAACAATTGGTTCATTCGCCATTTGTTCCCGCAGGATACTGGAGCCCATGTGCACCATTGGTTTGGAATCCGGTTAAAGCGCCGGACATTCGCTTTTCGTCCTCTCATTTTCGTAAACAACACCCCCGCCACGAGAAGGCAGTGAGTAGGACTTCCCTGGCAGAGGCTATATACGCGTGGCCGTGTGAGAGTATTTCGAGAGGGAGAGCGGACTCTCCCCACTCTCGGCCGTACCAGGGCATTTGGGGACAAGAAAACCGTCTGCTCTAGATTGTGTGCCCGAGCAGTATTCCAGCCTTTACGCCAAATGAGTTGTGCGGTGCATGTGTTTTGGCACCTTTTGTACCAATGCTACGTACTATATATTGACTGTCCTTATATAAAACCACTCGCTAGGGGCTTTGGTGTCAATAACCTACCAAGTCTTCGGAAATCACCACATGCACTCCGAACTGACAGGGATCGCTTTTTCTTAGCATTAGATCTCCGTCGAATTCGCTGGATGGGACTGTATTCAAAACTGGTTTTCAGTTGCAGATGATGTTTGCAGCAATATGTTGATCGACGATAATATGGATGTTGACAATAATGAGAAACGTAGTCTACCACAGTAAAACACTACAAAACTGACGACGAAATTAGATCAGCTGAGATTCTTAATGACAAAACTAACAACAGCATTTCAACCTTCTCAGAATGATGCTGAAATAATCATGATCAACGGAAAAGAGTAGCACGATAGATATATATCTACCACTGAATAATAGAAGTATTCTTTTGCGAAATAAAAAATTTTTGCTAAATTATAGTCAATTAAGGTAGTAGTCATGTGAATTACGTTTCTGAACTGTTTTACGTATCACTAATACGTATGACGTGTTTGGATAAATTAAGATATAAAACTAACGTTTGAAATACATATAACCTACCACAAAAAAATTAGGAAGCAGAGTCTTACCAGAATTTTGATTCAAGTAATCTTGGTATAAAAGGTCTGAACTCTTCACCTACAGTTCGTGGAAGCGTAGGGATTTCATCTAGTAGCCATTTAGGAATATGAATAGCATACACTTACCCGAATAATCTGCAGCGGCAGGATCTACTTTTGGAGAAATAAATGATATGAATAAACTCAATAAATATATTGCGAGAGTATAGCTAACTATATGGAAGCCCTGAATATAAACATTATGTAACATAAATCGACGCACCTGGATAGATGCTATCCGGAGCACGTAAATAGCAAATAACAGCAATGCAAACAGCCATCTAGTTATCCTATACGGATAGAGCTTATCAATTATGGTTTGGTGCATCTGACAAATGATATTAAGGATAATGTACTTCAACGTTAACTAACCACATTGACCGGGCGACAAACCTTTGACAAAAACGTATTCGACGACTCATCACTTGTTTGATCCAGCTTCATGATAAAGATTTAGAATTATTTCCGTTATTCGTGGTAAAGACCATCCAACAGCGACTTTGGTCGATAGACGCGCAAACTGCCACCACTTTAACAACTCACACAGGTTTGGAAAACCCTCCCTAATCTACGAAAGAAAAAATCGTTACTTTAACTATTGAAACACGGAGCTTTACTAAGGTGTAAAAAAGTTGTTTATTCCTTGGGTCCTGAATTCCAAAAGTACAAAAGAGAGAGAGCAAGTATAGAGAGGTTTGTTCTTCATCTCATTGTTTTTTAATCTTCATCGTTGCGGATGGCTAACTGTAAATGTCTTGGAATGATACGAGTTTTCTTGTTATCACGAGCAGCATTACCAGCCAACTCTAAAACTTCTGCAGCCGGATATTCGAGAACTGCAGCTAGATAGACTAGAGCACCAGCACCTACTCGCTCAGCGTAATTGCCCTTACGTAGAAGACGATGTACACGACCAACATGGAATTGAAGACCAGCACGGGCTGACCTTGTTTTTGCCTTACTACCTACTTTACCACCTTTGCCGCGTCCACTCATTATTATAAAAAGTAGAGAAACGTATACCACGATAACGGACTTACCTTTAACACTTCAAAGTGTAAAGTAGTCCATCTGCGAAATGTCGCAGACTACAGTTACAACTTAGGAAACTCCTCTCTAGTAGTATCCCAAGTCGAAAAAGATTTAGGAGTCCTGGTGCCCCATGATTTAAAGTCTTACGCTAATTGTGACAAAAATGCCTTCCGAGCAAACCTTGTACTGGTAACATTGAAGCTCACTTTTGGCCAGTTTGACGGAAGAACTTTCTATATAATCTTCAATAGTTTTATCCGTCCCCATTTTGAGTACGGAAACATAGTATTTCCCCCTCACTCCAAAAGGATAAGGACACCCGGGAGCGTATTCAACGGCGAGCCACGAAATCAGTTCAACGACTCAAATTTAAACCTTATGAAGAGCGCCTCCATTCACTTAACCTTTACCCATTAGAGTATAGGCGTCTTAGAGGTGATTTATTAATGGCTTATAGTATTCTTAACACTTCTGGACATCCTCTTAAACACCTACTCAAGCTTAGTTCGAATACTAATCTATGGGGTAAAACCCAGAACCTGGAAACTCAACATAGCAAGACGGGATGTAGACACAACTTCTATTCCTTAAGAGTTGTCAAAAGCTGGAATTCGCTGCCGGTCGAGCTAGTCCAAGCGACTTCTCAGGAGTCCTTTAAAAGGCAAATTGATCTATCCTTAAGGACTAAGGATAGTATCGCACTATGATTTATCAATTTCTTTTCCTGTTTTCTTGTTAACATACCTAGGTTCCTGCCTGAAGGATTTGGTGATTCCCTGCTACTAGACACAGAAGCCTGTTGAGCGAAAGCTTCTTCTATTCCGTCCACAACCATTTGAACCATTTTGAACCATTTAGGATTAGGTCTACTATTCTAGTAGCCAAAATAAGTGTACCAATTCCGAAAAGGACCATAATTCAACGATGACAAGCAAGTTCCAACAGTGGGTGCGGTTGAGCGATTATCTGGAATATAAAATGCTGATCATTACTTAAATACAGTGATTGAGACGTTATATATTGTGTCACTATGTTAAAATTTACCGTACAAAGTCAATGGGGAAAAAGAACAACAAATATTGTTTTTAACAAAAATAATGATACCATCTTTAGCGATTGAGTTATTAAAATTACACGATAATATATCAGCAATGAATTAATCTCCGTACTTTTGATTTTCATTGCACTGACCCTCAACAAAATGCACTGTGGTGTTTGAACGAAGGCATTTTTGTCACAATTAGCGTAAGACTTTAAATCATGGGGCACCAGGACTCCTAAATCTTTTTCGACTTGGGATACTACTAGAGAGGAGTTTCCTAAGTTGTAACTGTAGTCTGCGACATTTCGCAGATGGACTACTTTACACTTTGAAGTGTTAAAGGTAAGTCCGTTATCATCTGCCCAACTTTGAAGTAGAGTCAGATCCTCCTGAATTGCCTGTGTATCGTCTTGGTTGCGTATCTCTCTCCAAAGTTTCACGTCGTCGGCAAAAAGTAATAAGTCTGACGTTACCTGCTGAGGAAGATCATTTATATAGATCAAGAATAGAAGAGGCCCTAGTACTGAGCCATGGGTGACCCCACTAGGACATTCCATAACCTGAGATAAAGTGAAATTAACCCTAACCTTAAAGTGTCGATTTTCTAGGTATGAAGTAAGCCAATCGATTAGAGGTGGTTTGATACCTAGTCGTTTGAGCTTATTGATAAGACACAAGTGGTTAACTTTATCAAAAGCTCTTGAGAAATCAAGGTATATGATATCAACCTTTCCCTTGCGATCGAGGATGCTTGTCCATCTGTCCACCGCAGTCAGCAGGTTGGTTATACAAGAGTAACCCTTCCTGAAACCATGCTGTTGGGGTGAGAAGAAATTTAAGGACAGTAGATAGTCGTTTAAACCATCGCATATCAGGGACTCCATGAGCTTTGAAGGTAATGACAGAAGAGCCACCGGCCGATAACTTGAAGGTTCATTGCGTCGACCCCCTTTGAAAATTGGTGTGATGTGAGCCAACTTCCAATTTTCCCGTAGTTTGCCTCGGCTTAGCGAGTGTGAAAACATTACGCTAAGCGGCGTTGCCAGGATTGAGGCTGCCTCCCTCAGTATGGCAGTATGAACCATATCCAGGCCAGGAGAAGTATTTAGTCTTAAGTGCTGCAGTTTCCGGAACACCAAGTCAGCGCTTAAGTCCACTTCGGAAAACCCTGAGGAATTGCAGATGAAACTGTCGTCAATTGAGTTGATGTCAGCCGGCTGAAATGTTTGAGAGTAATGTGCCGCCAGAAGGTTAGCGGCGACACCATCGTTTTTGGTTGGGCCGTTAAGACCTAGCAATTGAGAAACTCCTGTTTTGGCTTGACGAAGAGATGCTGCATAACGGAATAGGCTTCTAGGGTTCGAGGCAAATTTGTCCATAAACTTTGTCTGATAATGAAGCCTGTCTTCTCTTATAGCCTTCGTGCATATGTTCCTGATATGTTTGTATTGCCTATACGCTCCGTCGTTGTCAGTTCGTTTGTATTCCGCCCAACAGTGCCTTTTACGGCTTAGCAGTCGAAGGGTACGGTTCTTGATTATTGTAGGTGGCTTACAGCTTTTGGGAACCGTTTGAGGAACTGAATGGTTTGTAGCACATAAGAGCGTGTGCAGCAAGTAGTCCCAATGACCGTCCACATCGAATTGAGGGTGAACATCCCAAACCACTTGTTGTAGATAGTCATGTAGAGCTCGAACATTCAGCCGTTTAAAATTCCAACGCAAATTATTGTTGGGATAACTTAGCTTAGTTTTGGTGACAAAACTGAAGGCTATGACGGCATGATCGCTCTTTCCCAGAGGAGCCAGGATTGAGAGGTTGTCAACTAGGAATTCTTCGTTTGTGAATACACAGTCTAACCGCGATGGTGTCTGACTGTTTCTCCAACGAGTTGCCGACCTCACATTTTCATATAAGCCCAAGTCATCGATGAGGTTGAAGAACCGAGCTTCAATTGAGTTTTCGCCTCCAGTATACGTGTGTTCCACGAAGTTGACTCTAGGAAAATTAAAGTCCCCTAGAATCAGGATATTTGTGAAACCGAGACGGGTAGAGCGGGATAGCACCATATGGATTCCTCAAGATTGTTAAACTCGAGGTTGTGAACTTGGTGCACCTCCTAGCAAGAGCTTGTGTATATGGCTACTCCGCCCCCAATTCCTGTTGTTCTGTCGTTGCGGAACAAAGTCATCCCTGGTAATGCTAACTCTTGGTCCGAGAACTGAGAAGATAACCAGGTTTCAGATATTCCTATCAGGTGGGCTTTATTAGCGTTGCAAAGTTCACGTAATTCATCCAGTTTGTTTGGTAGACTCGAGGCGTTCATATATAAGCAGTTTATGCTTTCAATTTGGAACGCGTGAGCTTCGTCCTGTTTTTTTGTATGAGCCTTATGTGAATGGACAGGTAGCCCACCTATGTGAGGTTTACCGAGGTGATAGGCTCTTTCCTTTACACGTTTTTTTATCGTTTAGACAATGCACAAGTGGAATGGTCAGCTCCAACTTGCCTTTGTGCTTGGTCCTGGCTTCATATGGCCTATCCGGGTGCATGTGGATTCCAGGTGGCAATCGACGTCTGTTGGCACGAAATGCTTCCAGAACTGCAGCCGACATGTGGGAAGATGGGAAGGTTATCTTCATTAGACGGGATCTAAGATCACCGTACTTCTTGGCTAATCTCGTCACATGCTGAGTCAGTATGTGTTTGAGCCTCAAGGACTGTTTGATGAATTTCCATTCCCTGATGTCAGAATTTGATTGAGTAGGGTCTGCATTTTCCGGTATAACTTGCACAATTATGTTTCTTCCGCGGAAAAACTTCTCGCGAGATTCTTTAGGGATGTTTCGTATGATATTGCGCTCAGAGAACGGTATGTCAGGCAATAATCTTACGTTACCATCTGATTTCAGCAAGTGACTTGCTAGTAAGACGTCCTCTACATCGGTAGCATTCTTAAGTGTTACTCGGAGAAGCCTTGGGTGATTTAGATGCTTAGAGTCCTTTCCTCTAGAAAGCCGGGTGACCATCGAAGGCTCTATTCTAGGAAGTTCGAGCTTCTTGTTCAATTCACCCCAGAGCATCCTGTCGTTTTTGTCCTGCAGACTGAGAGGAAGGTCAGGATTATCAACGAGGTTCATGATAATGAGAGAGTCGTCACGAACTGTTGTTAATTTACCAGGTTTCACGGCGGATTCATGTTTAATGACTTGCTGTTTGGAGGTCAGTGTGCGTTTTTGAGGCTTGGGCTCTTTTTTGACCGGACGAACAGTTTTGGGAGTAGACTGTGCGACCAAATCACCAGTTAATTTCCGTACAGCAACACTTGGGTTGCTCGGCTTAGGCGGTGATGCCTGGTTCTTTTGGGCTCTCTTAACGTGGGTCGAATCACCTACAGGGTTTTTGGGAACCACTGTTGTGTTCAGGGACCCTGAGCTTGGAGACCCGAGTTTGCTTAGGGAGTCTAATACCTTCGACGTAATGATGGTGCTGAGCCTCGACACGTCAT